GTTTGGGTGAAATCGTGGCACTTTTGGTTCATCCACCATCTTATCTACACTTAAATTATGAACTTTTTTTTTTTTTTACTTAAAATGGAGGGTGTTTTAGACTAGGGAAGAATTTCAAACCATCAGTTTGGGTTTTTTATTTTTTTAATTCTGAAATAGATTTACCAAAAGATAGGTGATATATGACTACTAAAAAAGGAACATTTGTAATGTGTGGATTTTCCTGATACTTCTTATTTAAAAGTAATAACTTGATTCATCATAGAATATTTGGGGAAAAGATGGCAAAAAGTAAAGGATCGGGAAGAAAAATAAAAAGTCATAAATAATCCCGCTTCACACTAATTATAGTCCACATTTTAAGGCATTTATAAAATAGCTTTAAAACGGTGAGCTATTTCTTCTTCTGCCCCCCTCCTCCCCCAGTCCCCATATACACACACACTCACACACACTCCATGTGAGCATTTTGCTCTTGGAAACTCATATTTCAGTTTGGTTAACAAAGACCTGGTCTTATTTTCATTTGAACAGCCCAACCTTGGCGTCTGCACTCTGGCCGCTTCCTCCCTGTGCCGTCTCTGCCCCTCTGCAACCATGTCATGGAAGTAGCTGCAGTGACGACCAGCCGGTCGTATAGATTGAGGCTGAGACTGGACACTGCTGCCCAACCCAGAACGCTGAGGGCTGCCCTAGGTTTGGGGCCCAAGGTCTCCCCTACTCATCCAATACAGAGTTTCTCCTTCCTCACCAGTGCTGCCCTCTGTCTGCCCTCCCAACTCTTCACCCCTCCCCAACCCTCCCCACCGAATTTCTTCCCCCTGTAAATGTCATGACTTCTCAGTAATACTGACAGTGGCTGTTCTTTTTGAGTGCTGTCTTTGGCCTGGCATCGTGCTGTGCAGTACATGTGACTGTCCCCATGTTTATGAGATGAAGGGTGGAGATCAGAGGTTCATACACAGCAAATAAGTGGCAGAGCCAGAACTATTCAAGGCCTTGTTCAGAGTCCTCCAGACTGGACTCGAACGACTGTGCCCTTAACCAGTTCGTTGTGTTCTTGCTTTCTTAGCAAGCCGATTCTTTCTAATGCGCTCCATCAAAGAACCCTTCTCTGTCAGGGACCCTGTGTATTGTTAGTTATGTCCAGGACCGTTCCAAGGGAAGTTCAAAGACCTTGTTTGTTGTAACACTGTTACTTGTGTCAAGGGGAGGAAGACGGTTCCTGGAGCCGGCAGCTCGGCCAGCCTGATACCTTTCTGGTGCCCAACTTGAGTCTGGAGGTTCCCTCCCACCTCCTCTGATGGGGATGCCTGACACTGACACCACAGCTCTTCCTAACTTTTAGGAAGTGTCTGAAGCTCCCTGCATCCCTGTTTGGGGACCTCAGATCAATGCCTTCCTCTCCTTGCCCACTTGCAGCCGTCCCCCGTGGTCCTAATCCCTGTCTAACTTGAGCCTGTAAATCATCCTTTCTACCTAGAAATCCCTGAGCATGGGGAACCAAGCAGATGGCTGTCAGTGTGGGGGACCCACACCCCTGGGATGGTCCCACAGGGCGGTTGGTGTCCAGTAGCAGGTTGTAGGTTTTGAAGAGGCCAGAGAGAAGTGGGAGGTACTTGCCTTGTAAGAAAAGGCCAGTCCTTGTTTGTTTTTCTTTCTGGTTCCCCACGTATCAGAAAGCCATCTCTTCCCCACGCCAGGCTTAACTCACTCAACATTTTCTTCTCTGAACCATGCCAGACCCTGCCCTTTTCTGCTTCTTGGTCTTCCCCTGACTGGTAGCATCAAGGAACTCTGTACTGATAACCTCGAGGAGGGTAGATGGCCTGTCCCCCCGCCACCCTCCAGAGCCCCATCTGTCTGCAAGGCATGAGTCTTGTGGGGCTCAGGAGAATAGAATGTGGAACACCCCGGTTTATAGGAGCTGTCACCTCTTCATTTCAGGATGGGTCCAGGGATGTAGGGGTGGAGTTGGGAGACTTCTAGATCTGCGACTGATGCTTTGCACTTAGGCAAGTTCAAAACCTCCCTGTGCCTTGGCTTCCCTACTGGGAGAAAGGGTCAGAGGCATTTCAGCCTCCCCTCTTTCTCGCCCGATGCTTATGGCTGCACTTCTAGGCACGAATGTACTGGGGACTCCTCATCAAAGTTGTCTGATACCTCTGTTTACATCCCCAAAGTAAACAAGGAGGTGTCCCCATTGGACTTGTCACGGTGGGGAGCCAGAGCTTCCAGGCATGCTAAACCTTTGCCCCTGTTCTGCTACTGAATGCAGGCTGGTGCCCTCCAGAGTCGCCCTTTGGTCTGCTTCACTTAGCAGTGTGACCTGGAGAAGAAGTGGCCTTCCAGCTCAGTCAGCAGCCGCAAGTGGGGCCAGTGGAGTAGGAACTGTAGTTGCTGTATTAGTCAGTTTTCTCTTCTCTCGTTTGACCAAGCAACTCTCATGGGGAGAAAGACAGTGTTACACCCACTTCGTGGCAGCGATAAGGACTTAGTATACTTACGTGTGCGCGGCTGCTGTGGGGTAGGGCTGGGCACCGCCCAGTATGTGTTGACACCCCTGTAGCCACCCTCTCACCGAGACCCACCACGTTCCTTCAGTAAGCTGAGGTCTTGGGGCAGGAGAGGGGTCAAGTGCGCCCTCCTGAGAACACTCCTAGTCCGTGGTGTCCAGCCTGGTAGGTTTCCTGTATCTTCCAGTCTGTCACCTCCTCCCCCATGTTTCCTGAAGCCGACTCAGCCTTCCAGCTCGTGGTCTCTGAGATAACCAGCGGTATTTTGTTATTCGTGACAACCTGTCTTATCTCTTCCTTCCAGATTCTGTGGACAGGCACAATGAGAAGCCAAGGAGGGTTCGTCCTGTTCGGGCTCCTGCTGGTGCTGGCTGTCCTCTGCCATTCAGGTGAGTGTTCCAGAATCCCGGCACGTGGATCTAGGCTGCCTCGGCCTTGAGCTTCCTTTATTTTAGGCTCAGGAGAACTGAGCCTAGTGGTATCGCTGGCCTCAGTTTCAGCACCAGTTCCTCTTGCAGGCCTGGCTTTGGTTCTTTTGCCTTCCGGTGTTGCAGGTCCGGGATTATGTGACAACTCTTTCCTCCGTGTGGCCTCGTCCTCAGTGGGGCCCCTTCCAGAGTTACAGGTCATCCTGAGTTACAGGCCCGCTTTTGGCAGGGGGTGAGGGCAATACTCAGCGGCTTAGGTTTCACCCCTCTCACCACAGGCTACTTGCAGCTCCCACGGATACCGTGCTTAGGGTGCTGTGCAAGCCCCTCTGGGGTCCCCTGTGCCAGAGCCACGTGAGGGAGCTTAGTCCTTCTGCCCTGGGACTTCTCCTGTGTTATAGCGATGGTCATGGGCACAGTGATAGCAGAAGCAGCCAAGGCTCACAGCATTTATGTGCCAGTCACTATTCTGAGCGTTTGACATGTATTTGCTTATTCGATCCTGGTGCCAACCTGATGGCATAGGTACTACTTTAATCCCTGTTTTACAGATGATGAGATTGAGGCCCCAAAAGATTAATTAACTTGTTGAATAACACACAGAAGTGGTACTCCAGGGTGTGAACAGACACACTTGGGCACCACGGTCCATGTCTTCCCCACTGTTCCAGGCCACCCCTCCCTCTGAGCCACCCTTTCCCCTGGGCCAACCCTTCCTGGACCACCCCTTCCTGGACCACCCTTCCTCCTGGAGGTATTTGTGTGCTTCTGAGTCTTAATCTCTATAGCAGTAGGAACACCCATGCTACTTGCTTTGCTCCATCATGAGGATCAAATGTCATTTTCCGCCTGTGTCATATTGGTATAGCATCCTGGCCACTTCCGTTTTTTTGTGGTTGTTCGGTGTTTTTTTGTGGCGGATGGTGGGGAAGAGAAACAGAAGTAGCAACATAATGAACATTAAAAAAAAAAATTTCTGCACTGTTGGCGCATGTCTTATAATATTAGCAGCTACTGTATCTTAACTGCTTATTATGTACTTGGGACTGTGCCAAAGCCTGTCTCAGCACAGTCCCCATCCCGGGAGGGGGACAGTGCTGTTGTGCCCATTTTATGGTTGAGAACGCTGAGGCAAAGCACTCACTTGCCCAAGGACACACTTGAATATACCCCCCTTTCTGAGCAAAAAGAGAGATCGTGACTCCCCTCCTTCCTCACCTCCACTAGTTCCAGCCAGGGTGGTGGTGACGTGGTTCGCCTGTGTCACAGCCCTACATTCTCTTCTGAGTTCTTCTCCCCGGTGTGTCTTCTGTGATTATAATAGCCCGGTCACGTCCTGCTTCCAGGAGTCTGCATTTGTTTATGGAGCAAGCTTGGATTTGGAGCAAGCTTGGGTTTGGAGCCATCGGCTGCTCTGCGACAGGTCTCTGGGTACATTTAAGCCCTTCCTCAGAATTGGGGTGTGAGATTCTCTCTCTCACACACACACACAGGTGAGAGCTTCCCTTGTGGCTGCCCAAAGACTCTGAAAAACTGCAGGGGAACCGTCCTTCCCATCCTACCTCTTGGAGCCTAGGGTCAAATCCCCTGTTACCCTGGCTTGGTGGCTAGACCCGCAGCCTTCTCATTTTAAGATTGTTCTTTTTTTAAGCACCAAAGCTGTCAAGAAAAGCGTCATCTTTCTCTGCTGCACCCCTTTAATAAAAGGATTTCTGTAAAATTTGGATTCAATCAAAAGGCCACACTTAAGGACCTAGAAGGCCACATGTGGCCTTCAGAACACAGGTTCCCGACCGCTGGGCTAGAATAGTCCGCTAGCCCAGTCGTCCACTGCCTTGTAGCTCATGTTTGGCCTTGGGTTCACCCACAATCTGTACTGTTTCTTTCTCTTCGCCACTCAGGTCAATTAGAAGAAAATCTAGGTTAAACCAAGCTGGGGTTTGAGTCTCTGCTCTGTCAGTTAGTGACTTTGGACAATTTAGTTAATATCTTAGTCCTTGTTTTCTCTTGCAAAATGGGGATAGAGAGAATTGAGCCTACGTCTTATAACAATTCTGTGAAGGGCTTAGCACATAGGTGCACAGATATTTGAATACTGCATGAACATATTAGCTGTGAATATTTCTGCCCGACAGAAGTTCCAAACATGGGCTTTGACCTTTCCTTCCAAAGGTTTGTTAAGAAGCCAAATGAGCTCTGGTTCTAGCCAGTAGGAAATTCACTTCTATGGGTAACCTAAAATGGCCCAGAGGTTGGTCTGAGTGCAGTGGTGTTTACAACTAATTGATCACAGCCAGTTACAGATTCCTTTGTTCCTTCTCCACTCTCTCTGCTTCACCTGACCAGCCTAAAAAAAAAAAAAGAAAGAAAGAAAAATAAATAAATAAAATGGCCCAGAAACACAGCCAGGCTAGAACAATGCCCTCCTTCTTAGACTCTTTTTTTCTCATCCATGTGTACACACATCTGGCACAGGAAGGGACCATAGGAAAATTGCATCTTTGTCCCATGTCATCGTGGCTCCGCTCTCACACAGGCATGACACACGCAGACAGTGGGTCTGACGGAGCCCTGCACACTGGCTTTGTAGCTGGGTGTCCTTGGGTGAGTCACTTCACCTCTGCAGGCATCCGTCTTGTCATCTGCAAACATAGTGGGGCAGGAGGAGTTTTTTGATTCAAGGCATTAATCTGGAACCTTCGCAAAACAAAGGGTCCTCTGGTGAGTGGGATTTTACACGCATGAAGGCAGGCTTGGCCATTTAAGATGCTATAGAGAGCTTGGCTCCTGTCTGTGCTCAGCAAGTGAGGACTTTCTTTCCGCTGGACTTGTGGACAGTCCCCTCTTTCCATGGTGCTAAATCTGGGCTTCTGCCTTAGAACTAGAAGTCAGCTCTTGGGCTCAAAAACCCACACTTGGTTTAAACGTAACATTCCTCTATGAGAGTTTACATGTTTCATCTTGGAAAATGTCTTTCACTCTGATAGATTCCACCAAGTACTGATTCCATGGCAGAAGCCGTGTGACAGGAAGGTGGGTATCTCTGAGAATAGAAAAGTGTATATCCACATAAATCAGGATGGTTTCCTTCCAACTCTGCTTCCTGAGCCTCTCCCCATCACACAGGTTAACTGCAACTCATCTTTTTCTTGTCACTGTTGTTATGAAAATGGAGAAGGAAAAATCATCCAGCAAAACCTGAAGTTTAGCTGGCAAAGATGAATCATGGGAACTTGCCTGGGAGCGAGTCGTCTTTCCAGTTAGGGAACTGGAGGCCATTTGCTTGTGATGGAAGATGACGCTCGTGTTCAGTGTCTCTTCCTGTCCCAGCTGCGCCACCTCCGTGGGTTTAAAGTGCACAGCTGTTGTCTTTCCTTCACTGTGTGTGCTTCCGGCACTGGGTCAGTCCCTTAGCGGGGAACGGTTCAGTGACGACACCCTGTCCCAGAAGTCATCAACTTTGTACAGGGCCAGACTATAAATATCTCAGGCTCCGCAGGCCAAGAGACGAAATCGAGGACATTCTCTAAGTTATTATACAAATAACAAGAGAGAAAACAAATTGTCACAGATTTTAAATTGACAAAATTCACAACATAATAATTGAGTGCAAATATATAATACCCTCCAATTGATGGAAATAGAATTCTTTTTAGGGGGAGAACTTATGCTTAATTGGGATTCAAAATTAGTGTTCTCTATCATTATTATCAGTTCCAGGTGTTCATCTGTTAATACTGGTCTGTAATGATATTTTACATATTTCATCTTTGAAACTGTCTTTTCACAGAGATAACTGCTGCCAAATACTGATCATCAATCCACGAGAATATGATTTAATTGAGTATATTTGTTGCTTGGAAGGCACTTATAGAATTCTTTCAGTTTATTCTCTTGGTATTTTCCTTTTAATATATAATTACATTGCAGGTTAATCTCTTTCCAGGTTAGGGGAAGGTTAGGAGGAAGCTTCTCAATTGTACAGTCAGATGGCAGATGTGGTTATTTCTTTTATGCTTGCACGAAGGTCCAAAAAATGTTGCTGGAACTGTAGCTAGAGCTTGGAAAGATAGAACCGCTGTAAGTTTGTGTGGGAGTGGAAGCGTGCCATGAGTTGCTGACTTCTGCCCCATATTCATGGGGACTGTGGGCTGCCGGGGCAAGTCAGTGCTGGTTTAAGAGGTCCTGACGTGCTTTCTTCCTGATTCTAGGTTATAGCCTGCAGTGCTACAACTGTATTAACCCAGTGCCTGAATGCGCTACAGCCACCAATTGTACACCTAATTTTGATGCATGTCTCCGTACAATAGCTGGTAAGAGCCTCCCCCTTCCCTATCTCCTAAGTGTAATGGGGTGATGAGAGCCTGGGAAAAAATTTGTGTCACTCTAATTCTCATTAGACATGTATTGAACAAGGAATAGCAACCATTTATTAGCACCAGTTGTGTGTTGGGCACTAAGCACGTTTCATAAGCTTTTTTTTTTTTTTTTTTTTTTTTTTTAAGACATAGGGTCTCACTGTGTCACCCAGGCTGGAGTGCAGTGGTGCAATTATAGCTCACCGCAGCCTCGAACTGGGGCTCAAGCCGTCCTCCTGCTTCAGCCTCCCAAGTACTGGGACTATAGGCAGCCTCGCTAATTCTTAAATTTTTTGTAGAGATGGAGGGGTCTCGCTATCTTGCCCAGGCTGGAAATGATCCTCCCACCTCGGCCTCCCAAAGTGCTGAGATTACAGGTGTGAACCACCGTGCCAGGCCCATACACTTTTTAATGAATGCATCTCCCTTACCTCTCAGGGTGACCTTATATTCCCATTTGATAGATGAGGACACTGAGGCTCAGGTTAAGCAACAGGTTATGGTCAAGTAACCAGCTCAGGCTTTAAGCACGGAAATCCATCTGATTGCAAAGCTCGTGCTGTTTAACAGCAACACTGTGCTGTCTCCCAAGCCTCTGAGGGCCTACTGTGTGCCAGAGCCTGAGCTGGGGGGTAGCAATGCAAAGATGGAGAAAGGACACATACAGTTAAAATTCTGACAGTTTTAACTGTTGGACTGCCCCAAATGGCTTTATGTACACCTCTTTCTCATTGCATGGGGTATGTGGGACATGCAGAGCCCTGGGCAAGCTGAGCTCAAAGGACAAGTAGAAGGTCAGAGGGCCGAGAAGGGAAAGGTGTTCCTGGGAGAGGCAACAGCAGGTACCAAGGTTCGGTGGCCTCAGAGCAAGGTGATCACGAGTGTGGGGGTGGAGAGTGCGAACACGCGCCAAGTCTGTGAAATCTGCGCTTTCCAAATTGGTTATGCTATGGAATATCCACCTCCATAAATCCTCTTAAAATAGAATACAGGAAATGGTAGACAGAGGAAAGAAACCACCAAACACATGCCCTCCGTCTTGCTGGGGGTAGTTCCGGGTCAGTCGAGAGGTGCAGTGATGCTGGTGAGGAATGGCAATTTCAGAGTCTGCGTGGTGGACAGGGTAAAACTCCCAGACGTACATTTCCGAGAGGTAAAAACAAAAGCACTCTTCAAGGTTATTTTCACTCTTACATCCTCTACCACAAACTCTTCCCAGTGTCAACATCAAGAAATGGTGAACAATGTCAGTTAAACTCAGAAAAGGCTTAGGAGAAAAACCTGAGAGGAAGAAAATTCATTTCCCCAGAAAGGAGAAATCTCTCAGTAAATGAACACAAATTACCAGCTACTTGGGAGGCTGAGGCAGGAGGATCACTTGAGCCCAGAAGTTTGAGGTTGCAGTGAGCTGTGATCGCACCACTGCACTCTAGCCCGGGCAACAGAGCAAGACCCGGTCTCAAAAAAACAAAACAAAACAAAAAAACCCACCAAAAACCAAATTAGAGACATCCTGTCAAAAAACCAGGGGTGTCTGATAGTTCTCATATAAATTCCTGGAATGCTCAAATCCCAAGCCCTCCATGCAAGGTTCTTGGTTCTGTAGGATAGTCCCTCTTCCTCCAGCAGGGGACCACATTGGCTCACTGTTAATGTAGAAAGCGCAGTAAGGCCCCAGAGAGAACATGGTTATTCACTTCACCAGTATGTGAGCACCAGTTATGTGTGAGCACAGACCTGGTTCTTTACCGTGGTCATCTGTGTCTCTTGGACCACTCACTACAGAAGGTAAAATTTCAAAATGAGAGGATAAAGGCAATTATGATGTGTTGAATGAGTTGTTAGGGCAGCAGTTGGGAGCTGTGACTTCTGTCCTGTCCCTCCACTTTTGTTTGTCATTTATGAAATGCGTATGTTGGATAGCAGAGGTAGGGAAAAGAGGCAAGTGGGCCAGAGCCAAGGTCTTTTTTCCAGCCTTCAGATCCCATAGTTTCTTATCTGAATCGTGAAACCTAAAAATGGTTAATGCAAACAACGTTCGTTGAGACACTTACTAGAATAGCCAAAGCAGGGACAACTCCAGAAGCTGGCAAGGATGTGAAGCGACAGGAACTTTCGTTCATTGCTGATGGGAATGCAAATTGGGACAGCCACTTTGGACGACAGTTTCGCAGTCTCTTACCAAACTAAATATAGTCACCGCGTATGATTCAGCACTTTCCTTGATACTTACTCAAGCGAGTTGAAAACTTACGTCCACACAAAACCCTGCACGCAGATATTTATAGTAGCTTTATTAATAATTGCCAAAACTTAGAGGCAACCAAGATGTCTTTCAGTAGGTGAATGGATAAATGATGGTATATCCAGACAATGGAATTTTATTCAGTGCTAAAAAGAAATCAGGCCATGAAAAGACATGGAGGAAACTTAAATGCAAATAATAGTCACGTGCCGCCTAACATTCTGGTCAGCGACAGACCATGGCGGTCCCATAAGATTATAACTGAGCTGAAAAGTTCCCATGGCCTAGTCATGTTGTAGCTGCATTGCTCACATGTTCGTGGTGACACACCAGTAAACAAACCTGTGTTGCCAGTCATATTAAAGTATAACGTACAATTATGTACAGTGCATAATACTTGATAATAAATGACTATGTTACTGGTTTGCGTATTTAGTATATTGTACTTTTAATTGTTATTTTAGAGAGTACTCTTTCTACTTATATAAAAAAAAGTTAACTAGAAAGCAGCCTCAGGCAGGTTCTTCAGGAGGTCTTCCAGAAGGCACTGTTATCATAGGAGATGACAGACAGCTGCATGCATGTTATTGTCCCTGAAGACCTTTCAGTGGGACAAGATGTGAAGGTAGAAGAGACAGTGATATTGATGATCCTGACCCTGTGCAGGCCTACACTAATGCGTGTGTTCATGTCTTAGTTTTCTTTTTTTTTTTTTGAAGACAGGGTCTTGCTCTGTCACCTAGGCTGGAGTGCAGTAGCATGATCATAGCTCACTGCAGCCTTGAACTCCTGTACTTGAAGGATCCTCCTGCCTTAACCTCCTGAGTAGCTGGGACTATAGGCGTGTGTCACCACACCCAGCTAATTTTTAAATTTTATTTTTTAGAGATGGAGTTCTCTCTGTGTTGTCCAGGCTAGTCTTGAACTCCTGGCCTCAAGCAGTCCTCTCACCTCGGACTCCCAAAGTGCTAGGATTACGAGAATAGGCCACCATGCGTGGCCTGTGTCTTAATTTTTAACAAAAGGTTTAAAAAGTAAAAAAAA